AACCCCATGATCCTGGGGTATGGGGTTGTTCCCCAGGACCTGATTCACCGGGGGAGCCTGCTGAATATTCCCCTGGTGTGGATTGTACTCTCCGTCCATCCCGTACTCTTCTTCAGAATCGCTGCTCAGGTGGCCGTCTATGCGCTCTTCCGTAGCCAGTCTAGCTCGCTGTTGTTTCCTGAGTTGGCGACAGGTGCGGTCGATCTCTGGATTCAACGGCAGTAAACCTCCCGACTGGCTGCGGGTCATGCACTTCCTGCACACACTCAAGCAAGCAAACCCGTGAAGGCACAAGTGGGACAAAGCAAACAATGCGAAAAGAGAAGCTAAATTAACAGAAATCACTTTTCTTCAACAACCTAGCCGTCCCCGGCAACGGCGCCAAAAACTTGACTCACTTCTACTGTCACCCTAGGAATTGGCCAAGTGTAACCACTTCCTAAAGCGTAGTATAGCGGGTTTGGGTTTTAATATCAACCCGGGTCCTAGATTTAATGACTACTCGGTGAATTCTTGTTATCTAGCAATGAAACTTTAATGCAAGTCTAAACTAACAAACAAACAAAGCAAGTAAATGGTTGTTTTCAGGTTAAGAGAGGTCACCCGGATATGGTTCCGCCTAGACTACAGTTAAGCCGGATTGCAATTACCAAGCTCAGTTTCTATGATAGTTATACTGCGGAAGGTTCTTAAACAGCCTGAAGTCTCGACTAAAGGTCTTCAGACCCTCTCAATCTGAGTCTCTAGCGGGCGACTAACCTCCACCGGAGTAAACAGATTGAGGCCCTAACAACAAAACCTCCACTACCGAAGTGAATTCGGTACAGAATAGTGAGTTGGCTCCTCGCCTAAAGTCACCAACTCCCTACCTTCAATCAAGGATGCTCTATCAACCTAGGCAGATATTCTCATTCTAGGTTAAAGCATAAACAACAGGAATTTGATCAGGATTCAAGTCATTCAATCATTCAAGCCTCAATCGAATATAATCAACTCATAGAATCAGTACTTGGGTTCATACAATCAAACATAACATACAAATCTAGGGTTCTCCATACCCAGATGAATGGGAGAACTACTCCATGGAGAAAGAGGCAAAAGCAGAATCAGACGCGGAATTCATACTGTGAAGGATGGATTCCTGCTCCTGGACGTTGATTGGCACTCCTTCAAGCTCAAGCCAAGCTCCAATGGTGATGAAGATCAAGCTAGGGCACTTGGAGACTCTTGTTCGTCGCTTTCTCTCTCTAGGAATCGCTCTGTCTCTCTAAAACTCAAATCCCCTTCTCTTTTGGCTGAAATCTGCTTAAAAGGGCATCACTGGGCAAAGCACGGTCGAGGGCACGGCCGTGCTTTGCTCCAGCCCGCCCGTGCTTTGGCTAGGGTTAATTACACGCCAGCTTGTTGGGAGAAACACGGCCGTGCTTTTGGGTGGACACAGCCATGTAATTTCTCAGCCCTGCCCGTGTTTTCAGCTCGTGTTTGCCAAACCCAAATCAGCTCTCGGCAGTAAAAGCACGGCCTAGGAACACGGCCGTGTTCTGATTTAGGTGTGCCCGTGTTTTGGCTCCAGCTTCACTGAATGACTTCGGAATGCCCCGAAACTCGTGCTTAGCCTTTCCTTTGATGCCTGGGACCTGAAATATAACAAAGTAGCACAACCCGGCGTAAAATAGGCCAAAAATACACGACTATGCCCCTCAAACGGATAAGAACTAGGGGTGCAAATAGGTGCAATTACATCGTTATCAGTGGTGGCGAACATGGCATGAAGTCCTACATCTTCAAACTGAACCCCAAGGTTCTATGGTTTTGACTAAGAACCTATCCTTAAATGAATAATGCTCTCCATTAAGAACTTTCCTCCAACACTACCTTCTCATTTCTAGCAAGAACCATACAAAACCACCTATGTAGAACCTCAATGGAGCTCAAAAGCGAGAACTCTGAGACACAAGGATGACTCACACTTTGACACGAAGAAAGGATGGTGGGGGTCGTTCTTTCAATCACGATTAAGCTCAATAAGCAAGAAATTCCTAGCATTAGAACAACCCCCAAAGTCAAATGGCTCAAAGGGGTTGACTAGGGGATAAGATGTTTTGGAATAATCAAGTTTTGGGCGTGGACTAATCCTATACCTCCATCATACTCACTAGTGACAACGTTGAATGTTACACACTATGGCGAGAAGGATCTATCACACATGAAAAAGACGATCAACTGAAAAATCACATGGCTACCTAGCCGCCAATCATCTATTCCAATTTAAAAAACTTCAATGCATGGCAATAGTAATTAAGAAGTAACCAAGTTAAGACATCCCTTTATTTATGCACACATGAGAACTAAGCTTTTGTACAACCCTAATGCATTCTCAGTCATCATAATAGGATGCACTCAATTACATGCAACAATTCAAGATCGATGCCAAATAAGCACGAGATTCATCCACCAACCAGCCATTTTGATCATGCATTGCTTGGAGCCCTCAAAATTTTTAAATTTGGGCATACATCAATGCTCCAAGCATTCAGTCACACACACAAGCATAATAATAAACTACCCCCCCCCCCATACTTAAGCTCGACATTTCTCTCAATGGCGTGAAATAGGGGGTAGAACGATGTTACTGCATGGCTTGGTGAATGAAAGTTGGAGAATTTCCCGGGGTAGGATGTTTGAGCTTCAAAGGAAAAACATAACAAATTACATGCACATTCTCGCTCGAGGCGAGGTTATTATACATAACAAAGTTTCACAATATGATTCAAAATAAAGAACTCACTAAGTACTGGTTCACACACTAATTAAGGAGAAAATAAAAATAAAAGAGTTCAGAGTTCGCAAGTGGAGAAGTGGGGCGAAAGAAATCGGCTCTGCCACATGTCTCCCTAGACGGCTACCTCGTCGTGGGCAAGAACACTCCTTGTCGTCCGAAAGGACACCCTGGTGTCGAGCCATCCTCTCTATGAGGTCGGGGGATCAGTCGAGCCGAGCAGTGACTCCCACATACTGTGCCTCGAGGTGAGCCACTCACTCCTCGAGGCGGGATCCCGAGGTGTAAGGTCCGGCCCGGATGATGATGATGATGATGTAGCTGATGATGGTGGTGGTGCGGTGCGTCGGCGGTGGCCTGGAGCTCTGGTGGGTGACTGCTCCAGGGGAGGAACCTCTGAATTAGTGGAGCTAAGACCGTTGAATTCATGTGGTAATGGTGACTCTGTTTGGATTGTGTTATGGACTCGTGTATCGAACAGGGTGGTCATGTGAAAAATGAAATGCAGTTGGTCCTCCATGTCAAAATCATTAAATCTTAAACATGGGGTAAGCCCAACGTGTGCGGCACCGTTCATTGCACAAAATCGGGTTTTGGAAGAGATTTTAGTGATCCTTAGTGGGGTACTCCTACAAGGTGAAGCTAAGTTGTCTCTAGTACAAGTAATACTTCCAACCGTTGAACGGTTTGCCTACTTGAGGATGTGTTCTTAAGGGCACGGATAGAGCTTCCGACCCCCCTTAATTTAATTGACCCTCCACACGAGTTCAGGAAAAGGAGTTAAAAGAAGTACTCTGGCGAGCGCCAGAGGTACAGAAATTTCTCTTGCTCGACTAATAAGGGTCGACCATGCAAAAGACTGCAGTTGGAACCCCGCCAAATGAAAGAAAAAGAAAAAAAAATGGTACAGGAAAGTGAGAAAAAGGAGTTCCAAAGGTGAATTGAAGTGAAAGAACACCCCGGTACAACGAGTCCTTGGTTGTGAATGGTGTGAGTCCCTTTATCCATGAACTGATTGTCTTACTTCTACTTCTTCTCATGATCCTGGCTTGAGTCTAGAACTCGCATTGAGAGGGATAGGGAACGTCTTAGAAGACAAGTTTGGGGTCGATTGGACGAAGATTGGACATTTGGCGAGAAGCTGATGAAGCCACATGGGCACGCCTAAAACCCACACGGCCGTGTAAGGGAACCCATGTGGCCGTGTGGAAATTCTAGGGAACTCACACGGGCAGCCTGGAAATCCACACGGTCGTGTGGTTGTGGCCATGTGGGATGGTTGAAGTCACTTAATCGAAACTCCGCGTTTTGACACTCACACGGGAAGCCTGGGAAAGCCACACGGTCGTGTGGCCTGGCCGTGTGGTCGTGAATTCTGGGTTTTTAACCCAGTTTCGAGACAAAGGATGGGAGAGCTGGGTTTTTGGATCCCAAACACCCAAGGGACGAACCAAAAAGAGAGAGGGCGATTTGAGGGCATTCTAGGAGTGGAACTGGAGGACTTCTTCGCCTAGGAAGCTCAAGGAACAAGTCCGGACTTGAAGACTGATCATCTGAAGATTCTTACTGCAGTCTCTCTCTTCTCTATGGAGTAACTTCCCTTCACTTAGGTTTTGACGAACCCTAGCTATGTTTGTTTGATTGGATGATTGTATGAGTACTCTAACTTGATAACCTTGAGTTCATATTCAATCTATGCACGTTTTCATGATTCAATTATGCTTTAGTCTAGATTATTGATTCTGCTTTGATCCTATGAGAGCGAATACCTGATTAGGTCAATAGAGAACCATAGATTGATAGTAGTGGATCGATTGCTTTAGTCGAGGGTTGATTCACTTCTTTGTATCGATTGAGAACCTCTTTCGATAGAGGGAGTCTAGTTGAGAACGCCTTGATCGGTTGTTCTAGAGAAGGATACGTCCCTCTAGGAAATTGACTCAAGAGGGCCTTGTTCCTTTAGTCGAGACTCAAGGTCTAGTCAAGGATTCTCAGCATTGTGAATGAAAGTGAAACAAGTTAGAGATCATCAATCGTTAATCTGGCTAGTGGGAGTCATACCTAAGTGAGTTTCCAACCTGTAATTAGATTAACTTTAACTGTAGTTTGCTAGAGTAGTTTTAGTTCTTTCATCTTAATCTGGTTTGCTAGATAATGAACTAAAGCTGAGTAATGGTAACTCTAGAGACCCATGGATTCGATATTTATTACTTGAGCCACTATACTGCAGTCCCTTTCATTGGTTACACTTGGCCTTTGTTTGGAGTTGTGTTTTAGCGAGTCAAGGTTGGTCACGGTCACTAAGACCGTGAACTGAACGCACAAACCGTGAACTGAGTGAAAAACAGGGCACTCCCAAAAATCTTTCACTCGATCTACTCAACTGTGCCCCTAATTCGTTCACACACATCCCAAAACACAAAACAACAGAGACTTGGCACGGTGGTACCCAAATCTAACACTTGAACTCTTCACACACACACACACACAAAAAGAGAAAAATAAGGAAAAGAAAACAAACCGTCATTGGGTTGCCTCCCAACAAGCACTAGTTTAACGTCACTAGCTTGATGTTGCGGATCTATCATGCTTGAGGGCATGAAACCACCGAGAGTTCATCTGCCACGGTCTTGGAGTGAGGCTTTTCACCTCCTACATTTAGCTCTATAGGGTGCCCCTTTGGCCCGACACTTTCGCCTTATCCTTATCTTTTGGTTGGGAGAGGGCTCGGTTAAGCCTATCCCTCCACGCTCTGTTCTTCTTTCCTCTGGACTTAGTACCTGCCTTGGTTTCCTGCACCTCATCATCAAATGGAACACACACACTAGTGGGGTTTGCCTTGAGAGGCTCACCTCCACTTCCATTCATACCACTCGAGTCCATTTCTTTCGCAACATCATTCTTAACCTTAGGATCAATTGAAAGAGTGAGTTGCTCCTCTCCATCTCTCAAAACAAGATTTCCCTCATTAACATCGATTAAAGCCTTGGTGGTGGCAAGGAAGGGGCGTCCTAGTATGAGTGGCGTTAGCCGCATCTTCACAAATATCAAGGATAACAAAATATGTCGGACGATAGAAATTGCCAACTCTCACTATGACGTCCTCCACAATATCCCTAGGACTAATGAAAGAACGATCGGCCAATGTGACACTAAGTCTAGTGGGCTTCAATTCACCCAAATGCAACTTTCTAAAAGGCTTGTAAGGCATCACATTAATGCTTTCTCATAAGTCCTCCAAGGATTTTTTCTATATGATGATTTCCGATGCAAATAGGTATAGTGAAACTACCTGGATCCGGTTGCTTTTTAGGCAACTTATTGACGATAAAGGTGGAGCACTCATCGCCTAAGGTGACATTGGAAAGGTATTCATATTTCGGCTTCTTGGCGAGAAGCCCCTTGATGTATTTGGTGATGCGGAGCTTCTTGAGAATCTCCATCAATCCACCACATTCCGCCTCCAATCAATCCTTTTACATCCCTGTGGAAAAAGGAAGAGGAGGCTTGTACTCAGCCACTTGTGTTGGCGTCGGCAATGCCTTCTTAGGCTCTTCTTCCGTTTCTCCCACTTCTTCGTGATCATTGGTCGTTGGAGGGGTCGTCCCTTCTTCCATCACTTCCTTAGGAACAACCTCCGGGGTAACCTTCCCATTCCTCAAAAGAATAGCATTGCAACCAGCATTTTGGTCTTTGGGGTTGACAATGGTTTGAGAGGGTAGGAGTCCCATTGGCCTCTCGGTGAGGATCCCGACAAGATTGCCAACTTGCACCTCCAAGTTTTGAAGGCTTGCTTGATGGCTCCTTAATCCCGCCTCAACCAAGGTAAACTTTGTTTTTGCCACATCCATAAATTGCTCAATATTCTCAAACTTTTGAGTGCTCATGCTCACGAAGGTGGTCACAAGGCCTTCAAGTTTTGCAAACTTGTCAAGTTGTTCGAAACCTTGACCTCCTTGAGCTTGAAACAGGTTGTTGGAAGTTAGAGCCTTGGAATTGCGGCCTTTGTTGAATGAAAGCAGGCCTTGGCTGACAATTTCCCATCGGTCCTTGGAAACCGGGGAGTCTTGGGTTGGTAGGAGAAGACCAAGAGAAATTCGGATGATTTCTCCACCCCGGGTTGTAAGTGTTGCTATAAGGGTTGTTCCCCCTAGCATTGTCAATGAAACTCACTTCCTCCTAGGGTGTGCTTAATTCCTTCATTATCTGACAATTCGAAATCTTGTGGTTGGTACTTGAACACCAATCACACGCCATTACCAGCCTCTTCCCATGCTTCTTGTCCTCTAGGAGTGAATCGATCAACCGATCGATCTTCGCTTCAAGCGGGGGACTCGCACCTACAAGTTGCCCTCCCCTTGTGGTGCTTCTCTTTCCACTTCTTGTCAAGCCCCAATCATAACATTTACTTGCCATGTCTTCAAGCAACTCAGTCACTTGGGGTGGAGTAATTTTCATCAATTTACTTTGACATAAGGAGTCAATGTGGATCTTGACGTCTTGGTGGAGACCGCCATAGCAGGTCTCAATCCGGAATTTCTTCTCGAATCCATGGTGTGGGAATCGGAGGAAGTAGTTAGAGTACTTTTCCCAAGCATCCCTCAATGTCTCATCTTCCTCTTGCTCAAAGTGGGTGATCTTTTTGTGCTACTCCGCCGTCTTTGAAGATGGGCAATACCGAGTCATAAACTTGTTGAGCATATCATCCCATAAAGTGACCGAAAGAGTCGGCCCATTGTTGAGCCATCGAGACGCATTCCTCGCAAGAGAGTAGGGTAACAACCTCAACTTCCAAGCATCCTCGGGGACACTATTGATCTTCAAACTCCCCGCAAGTTCAAAGAACTTCTGAACATTAGTAATCCACGCTACTACGGGTCGGGGCGAGTAAAGCCCGTGCGGGTACGGGGCGGGGCAGGTCGACCCACTCTTACATGTTATTTGAAAAAAAAAACACACACACACACAAATTTCACTTTTTATGATAAAACGAAAGGGAAAACACTTTATGAATGAAAATAGTGATAATAGAATGGTTAATTGAGTCTAACCAGTTGAAAAATCGACTCTAACTAGTTGAAGAAAACTAAAAATAGGAGAAATATGTATAGATATTGTAAGAAATTGATGTAGAATGGGCTAAGAACGGGGCAGAGGCGGGGCCAGGCGGGGCCAGGCGGGTCGGAAGTAGATACTCATGCCCCGCTCCACGCTACTACGGCTCGGGTAATACTCGCCCCATCCCGGGTCATGTCGGGTAATACCCGCGGGCCGGGTTCAAATTGCCATCACTACTAAACATGCTCCCTTGGACACTCATTGCTAAGCCCATGAAATAGGGCATTGTTTTGGATCATGGTCACAAGAGCAGGCTTGATCTCAAAATTGTTGGCGGCCATGGGTGGATGTTGAATGGCGGGTTGAATCGTGACACATGCTATAACACAACATCAAACTACATCCAAGTGCAATCGTAAGATGGAAATGTAGAATAGTTGTTTAGTTTTAATATCCTTACTTCGTGAACTTCTATTATATAGCGGGAACAGTCTAGTGAAGTTGTTTAAAGCTAATAAATGAAAAGCAAGTAGTGTTCTGGTTCTTTCAAGTGCTAAACGTCATCCAGGCATGATTCCCCCTAGTATGTAGCTAGTTCGGGTTATACGTTCCCAATTTGTTCATATTGACAGATACACAACGGAAAGTTCTTGACAAGTTTGGAATCTCGACTAAAGAAGACCAGAACCTCTTGGTTCGAATTCCTAGTGAGAGACTAACCTCCAGCGTCATAAACTACCAAGGAAATAGCACACCAAAGTTCCTCTACTGGCTTTGATTCTAGTACAGAGTAGTGAATCGACTTTTCGACTAAAGCATTCGATTCACCACTTCCAATTTACGGTTACCCTTTTAACCTATACAGAGACTATCATTCTAGGTTAAAGCAGGAAACACACAGGTTTGATCAGGACTCATGCAATTCTGATTAATTTCTCAATTGAATATATCAAATCAATAATTCGGAAATGGGGCTCATACAACCATTCCTGGCATACAAAACTAGGGTTATTCATACTCAGATGAAATGAGAGTTTACTCCATGGAGAGAAGTGGAAACATCATGCTATGGGAAGAAATCATCATTTGGACAATGAACTGGAGCACCTTCTGCGTCATGCAGTTTTCTCCGTGATGACCGCCAACTGGTCCTTTGTGACAGTGAGAAAGGATTGCTCCCATCTCATGTTCCATCACGCACCGTCGAATCATGCCATCAGCTCCGATCTTGAAGAGGTATGGATCCTCCCAGAAAATAGTACTTCAGCTCGGAAAGAATTTACGATTAGCGTGAGTCGCCATTCCCTTAGGTAACTGCTTGCCCAGCAGATAATTAGCAAGATCAGAGTACCAAGGGGTGACACTCTCCACCAAGCATACTAGCATAGTGCCAGAATTCCCTCATCCGGAAAGGAGTCATTGATCTCTTCCATGAATTTGTCCACCCGAGAGGCTTCCAATCGTGAAAGATGATCGGCGACGACATTCTCTGCTCCTTTCTTGTCCCGAATCTCGATATCGAATTCCTACAAAAGCAAGATCCATCAGATGAGCCGAGGCTTGGCGTCAGCCTTGGTCATCAAGTAGCGGATGGCCGAGTTGTCAGTATAGACCACGACATGAGAGACCACCAAATACGGTCAAAACTTGTCGAATACATACACCACGACAAGTAACTCCTGTTCTGTGGCGGTGTAGTTCTCCTGAGCATCGTTCAAAGTCTTCAACGCGTAGTAGATAGGCTGGAAATTCTTATCGTATTTTTGACCAATAACAACTCAGACCGTGTAATCACTCACATCGTACATTAGCTTGAATGGAAGAGACCAATCCGGAGTCACCATGATGGGTGCATGGGTAAGCTTCTCTTTCAAAGTCTCGAATGCAGCCGTGCACTCTAGAGTGAAGCTAAATGGTACGTCTTTCTCAAGAAGTTTGGTCAATGTCAAGGCTATATTCGATAAATATTTAATGAAGCTCCGGCAGAAGCCTACATGTCCCAGAAAAATGCGGATTCCCTTCATAGAAACAGGAGGAGTTAGCTTGCTGATTGTCTTTAACTTAGCCCGATCTACCTCGATCCCATGTTTAGAGATCTTGTGGCCGAGCACAATACCTTCATGAACCATGAAATGGCACTTCTCCCAGCTGAGTGCCAAGTTCATCTCCCCGCACTTCTTCAGGACAAGCTCTAGGTTATGGAGACAGTGTGAGAAGGAGTCTCCATAAAGTTATCCATGAAGACTTCCATAATCTCTCCAATAGGTCGGTCGAGGATCGCCAATATACACGCTGGAAGGTCGCCGGTGCATTATAGAGTCCAAATGGAATCCTCTGGTATGCAAAGGTACCAAATGGATAGGTCAAGGTAGTCTTATCCTGATCCTCCGGTGCAATCTCGATGTGGAAATACCCAAACATGTCATCCAGAAAACAATAGAACTCATGTTCCGCCAACCTCTCCAGCATCTGGTCAATGAAAGGAAGCGGGAAATGGTCCTTCCTAACGCCGTCATTCAGGCGTTGGTAGTCGATGCAGAGTCTCCAACCAGTCACAATTTGCATCAAGATCAGCTCATTCTTCTCGTTCGGAAACACATTCATCCTGCCTTTCTTCGGGACCACCTAGGTGGGGCTTACCTACTTGCTATCAGATATAGCAAAGTTGATCCAATGCATCCTTCAGCTTCACAATCTCAGCCCAGACCACTGCCTCCAAGTTAGGAGTCAACCTCCAATGCGGCTGCCGGACCGGATTAACCTCATCCTCCATCAAAATTCTGTGGGAGTAGAAGGATGGGCTAATGCCTCTAATGTTCGTGATCTTCCACTCCATGGCCCAGACATACTTATTCAACAGATCCATCATACTGCTATTTTGCTCGGGGGTCAATTCCGAGCTGATGATGACGGGGAGCTTATTCCCCTCTCGGAGAAATGTGTACTTTAGATGAGCGGGGAGGGGTTTAAGCTCAAGCTCGGGTGGCTCCTCTAGTGAGGTAGTGATCCGGGGCGAGACATTTATCGGCTTGAACGGCTTCTCCCGCCCCTCTATGTGGTGCTCTCCTGCTCCGTGAGCTGCTCCTCCAACTACAACTCATATGATGCATGTTCCCCTAGCAAAAGACAATGCTCGAGGAAATCGTCAGTACCCGCACTCGTGATAGCGAGTGCGGACTCATAATCAACAATCACATCATAGTATTCTAAATCATCATGGAGTTAGGGATGTTTCATATTATCAGAAACAGAAAAAGTTATTTGTTCACCCCCACCCTGCAAAATCAACTTTCCATCATTCACATCAATAAGTGCCTTGACGGTGGCAAGAAATGGTCGATCAAGAATCAAAGGCACTTCCACATTCTCATTTATATCAAGAATCACAAAATTAGCAGGATATGCAAATGGCCCTACTGTAATGACAAGATCCTCTGCAATGCCCCCTAGGATGCACAATAGACCTATTGGCTAGCTGAATGCTCATCCTATTATTTTTGGGTTCAGCTTGGCCTAGCTTCTGAAATAATTTATATGAAATGACGTTTATACTAGCGCCTAAATCCTCCAAGGACTTCCCTACATGCAAGCTACCTATAATCAAGGGATAGTAAAACTCCCTTGGTCTTTACGCTTTTCTGGTAGCTTGTTCTGCAGGATGGCAGAACACTCCTCATTTGGCATCACCATCGAGAGCTTCCTAAGCTTCCTCTTGTTAGTGAGGAGGTCCTTCATGAACTTCGCGTACTTGGGCATCTTTGACAGTCCCTCCACCTAGGCCATGCTGATGTTGCTTGAGCGTTGCCATGAATTTGGCAAACTCAATCTCCAGTCGGCCTTTGTGTAACTGGGTAGGAAAAGTGAGTTGAGGTACATACTCCTTCACCATAGGTTGCGGCTTGGCAGCAGGTACCTCAACCTCCTTCTCCATTTCTTTCTTGTCGGTTGGAAGTGCTGAAGCAGGTGGTTCTTCCCCTGGCTGTTTGGAACGTGGATCTCTACTATGACCTTGCCACTCTTACTGGTCATGGCACTGAGTTGGGCATTCGGGTTGTTTGGTTTTGGGACGGTTCGTTCTGGTAAGGTACCCGAAGGCCTCTGCCCCACGGCTCTGTGAAGGCTACCAAGCAAGAGCTGGATGTCCTGCAAGATAGCCTGTGTATTCCTCTGACCAGCTTCGAGCTGCAAGAATTTCCTGGAAGCCCTCTCTATGAACCGCTCCAAGTTGCCGAACTTAGTAGCACTGTTGTTGGCTAGGCTTGCCACGACGTCGCACAGCTCGGCCATCGGGTACGACACTGGGGCGGGGGGGGGGGGGGGGGGTAATTCTCAACTGCTGAAATAGTCTCTGCTGTGGTTGAGACATAGCTGGCCCCGGCCTGGCCGGATAGAGTAGCTTCTATTGCTGCTAGGATTGGCCCTAACGTCCCTTGATGACTCGATATTTGCACATGTTTTCCGTTTTGTTTCTTGATTGTTTAAGCTTGCATTATCGCTTCTTTGGCCTATTTTAAGCTATGTTGTGTTTCTTTGTCACATTTCAGGTCCCAAGCGTCGAAGGAAAGGCTTGGCGCAAGTTTCAAGTCAATCGGATACCAATTGGCTACTCGGGAGAAGATGCTGGGGCCACCCCCTCATTATAAGTATTACTGTATGGGTCAAAGCGCCTAGGATTGCTGATATCATGAGGAGTAGTAGATTCCCTCATCGTTTGTCAGTCTTCCACCATGCGGTCACTGCTCTCGCACCACTGACATTGCATTGGCTGTTGTTGCCCTGCTACAGAAATCATTCTAGTTTTATCGAGCTGCATGACCAGTTTAGAGACAACCTGCACCAATTCAGACGACTGGGTATCCAATGCATGCACACCCCGACCTTATGCTCTTCTCGACCTCCTCGCAGATCCCCAATCATAGCCCTGCTCCGTCATTTCATCAAAGACCTTATTCAACTTGGGCATCATCTTGGTCAGCATATTCTCTCCTTAGACCGAGTTAATCAACTATTTGTCCTTAGGAAAAAGAGCGTCATAGAAGGTTCCCACCTTGAAGGCGTCATTAAAACCATGGTTGGGACACTTCAGGAAGAGGCTGGTGTACCTCTCCCAAGCATCCCGAATGGTTTCATCCTCATCCTGGGCAAAGTATGTAATCTCTTTATGTAGGTCTACTGTCTTGGACGATGGTGATAGCGGGTCAAAAACTTGTTGGCTAGGTCAGTGAAAGTTGTGATTGACCTCGAAGCTCTGTTATCTAGCCACATCATGGCATGTCCCTCTTGAGTAAATGGGAAGCACCACAGGTGAATGGCGTCCCGCGAGACTCCATTAATCTTGATTCCATCGATAAGCTCGTGGAATCGTCACAGGTGGGATCTGGGGCACTCGCGTGATTTTCCATGGAATACCACCGAGCCGCGCATGGCAATGATAGAGGTGCTCACCGCAA